ATAGTTTCGAGCTATTATCATTAACAAGTCATCAACCCTTGTATACTCAGCATATAATCCATATTCTTATATCCAGTACATTATATCCACTACATTATATCCATGTGTATAGATATATATATTTTAAACAAATTAATAAAAAAAAAAGTGGGGAATTAGCTAAAAACACGAGTTTAGGTTAAACGTAGATGTTTAATGGACTCTATAAATAGTTCCTAAACCAATGCACAACCTATCCAAATAGAACATTTTTATTGTCATTCTGATTATGATTGGCGATTCACAAGAAAGCTTAACTATGTGTGGAGTACTCGAAAGCGATGAAGAGAGCCAGGGTTCAAATGTCGTTGAGGTAGTTGTTATGTGTTTTTATAATAATGCTAATCTAAGAATGATTTCTGAAAAAATTTGTTTTTGTTTGGTAGGAAATCCCAATGAGAGAATTTCACATTCCTCAGCCGTTGATGGAGATCATCGTGAGTAAGGTTGGAGAAGATGGTGTTGACGCGTTGAAGAACTTGTTGCTCGCTGGGAGAGAGGGGAAGGATGCTGTTCTGTCGAAGAAAACCTTGGCATCTGTTCGGATTGACATGGATAATCATTTCATGTGGTGGTCAATGCCACATTCAAAGTACTACACTTTCTTCCAAAAGTGTCTTGCTGCGAATAATCCGTATGCGAAGTTTGTAGAGAAGAACAAAGGACTGGCTTATGAGTCGACGATAGGTTACTTTCAAATGAGATGCCGTTGGAAGGTCTGCCACCAAAAACGCTTAGGGGGTTTGATGGACCTGGATGACATGAAAAGGTGCGTGGTGAAGCCACCTATGAAGCGGGAAAGAGTTGGGAGGCCAAGGTGCCGAATGTGCAATAAAGCTGGGCACAGGTGTATGGATTAAGGATTGTAGGATGGTGGCGGGATGATGGGGTAGAGTTCATGAAATTAATTATCAACGTTTATTGGAATGATATTTGGCTATAATCCAACATATAATCGGGATGTTGTATTTTGCTTTTTGTAGAACGGGAATGTAAAACATTTAAGATTGTTGGGATGTTTTAGCTAAAGTTGCTGTAAGCACATTGTCTAAGTCCATGTAATGGTATCCATGTAATCATTAATTTTATATTTTAATCCTCTAATCTTTTTCACAAATGTTTTACTTTAGTATTTATGTTATATTTGGTGTATGTAATCCTCTAATACTCAGATAATAGGAAAGAGGGGGAAAACTCCCGCCAAAACAAAGAAAAATATTTAAATTGTTGAATTTAAAATATATAAAGAAAACTATTTCATGAAGTGTATCCACGCACTATAATCCATTGAATAATTAACCAGAAAATGATATCCATGTGTAAAAGATATTTATATTTTAATCCAAATCAATTATAAAATTATGAGGTTAGGGTTCAACAAATAGGTTTAATAAAGTCTATAAATAGGATATAAACTGTAACACAACCTAATCCAAAGATCAGATATATGTATTTCTTGTTAAAATGGGCGAATTACAAGAAAGCTTATCTATGGGAGGTGTACTCAAAAGCTATGAAGAGAGCGAGGGTTCAAATGTCATTGAGGTTGTTGTAATTTATTTTTTAAATAATGCTAATATCAGAATGATTGTTTACAAAAATCTGTTTTTGTTTGTTAGGAGGTTCCTATGAGGGAATTTCACATTCCTCAGCCGTTGATGGAGATCATCGTGAGTAAGGTAGGTGAAGATGGTGTTGATGCGTTGAAGAATTTGTTTCTCGCTGGGAGAGAGGGTAAGGATGCTGTTCTGTCGAAGAAAACCTTATCATCCGTTAGAATTGACATGGACCCTCATTTCATGTGGTGGTCAATGCCACATTCAAAGTACTATACTTTCTACCAAAAGTGTCTTGCCGCTGATAATCCGTATGCTAAGTTTGTTGAGAAGCACAAGGCACTGTGTTATGAGTCGACGATAGGGTACTTTCAGATGAGATGCCGTTGGAATGTCTCACATGATAAGCGCATGGTGGATGACATGAATGTGTGCGTCGTTCAGCCACCTTTTCAGCCGGGAAGAGTCGGGAGGCCAAGGTGCCCTAGGTGCAAGAGAGTTGGGCACAGATTCAATAGGTGTGTCGATTAAGTTATGGAGGATGTAACCGGGATGTTGGGGTAGAGTTAATGAAAGTATTAACAATTTTTTGTGGTAAGTTATTTGGTTATAATCCAATATGTAAGCGGGATGTTGATTTTGGTTACAAATTACGTTTTAGTTTGTTGGGGAATGTAAAACACTTAAGAACTTTGTTTGCGTCCACTGAATGTTATCCATATTGTTTCTTAATGTTCAACTTGCCAGCAATGAGTATATCCTTATGTCCAAAAATTGTAATCCATAAAATCGTTATTGTTGGGGTACTAACCTTTATAAACTTTGTCAATATTCTGGTCAAATTTAGGTTAAAGAATTAGAGTCTCGGGCCATGGGTTGTTATCCATATAATAGTAATAAAATATGTCGAATCAAAGAAAAGTTGCCCTTTTTTTTGGTTGGAAAGCATGGTCGAAGAAATTATAGTCTGCTGACAGGAAAAGTAGCTTAAAAGTAACGTGTCCATAAACGAGCATCGGACGTAGCAAAAGCTATTGATGTGTTGTGTCACTCTTCAAGCATTACCCAATAGATAATACAATGTAAAGGGTGTCAGTATTGGCTAACGTGATGTATCTGGCCTATGACGTACGAATAGGTTATACAGCAACATAAATGAAAGATTTTTATAATTATGACTTAGTTGACAATAAGAAAGTTTAAATTTATAGTGTACGTGAAATGATGGCCTAAACTGAAGCTATATAGATTTTGTTTTTTTATTTTTTATTTGGACTGAAAAATTGAAGGTTGCTTGAATATCAATAAGTACAGTTAAAATCAGACAACAAGTTCTAATCGAATTTTTTTCCAATTAGAAAATAATTAAAAAAGAAAAAAAATAAAACAAATAAGATAGCGAAAACAACAATGTTTTTCAGACATCTGATCTGGGTTTTCAAGTCTTCAATATCTTTCTGAAGAACAGAATCATCCAACCGCGTCTCCTTCTTCAAAGTGCTAATGTCGGAATCACAAATATTTAACCCTTTTTGCAATGTTTGTGTAGCTCTCTCAATGTCATCGACTTTTTCAATCAACACCTCAATCTCTTCTACCAAACATGTATCCGTCCATTTGAACAAATGGTACCTATTATCCTGTGTATCCGGTATTAGTTCTGATATGAATTTAGCAAAAATGATTTTAGTTAGTTCATATACTTACAGAGGATCCCAAAGGACATGCATAAAACAAGCGACCAGGGTTTCTTGGAGTTGCTGAGGTTTTCATCACAACTTCCTCGCCACAACGGCAGAGTTTCGGGATACCTCCAAATTGATCTACCATTTTCTTGTTTGGACCTTTACGGTGGCGAACCTGAAAAAGCTTGTTATGGTGAAATCCCTAGATGTTTAGAATATATTCCCAATTATGGACGACGTCGTTTTTGGTAAAAGTTGAAAAGGAGTAATTCCAATAACTGACATAATATAATTCGTATTAATTTGTTTGTGATTCGTATTAATTTGTTTTCATACATTATTTTAACAGAAAACCCAAAGCTGATAAATCGGAATATGTTATCCGTGTGGTCTGTACTCAATGGATTGCAGTACTAGCCAAAAAAAAAAACGGTCACATTTCGATTATCATTTATTGAAACGCAACTACAGATAAAATACACGATTGATAATCGAATGTATTTATCGAATATCATTGTAATAGTCCATTAATACATAGCCACAATCGACAAAATCAAATAATATTCTTATTAATTTGCAGTCAAACAATTTTTAATGCTTTGCTCACTGGGGAATGGAAATACCTAAGCCGTGTGGTCAGTACTCAATGAATTGCAAGACAATGTATGAGTATAAAGATTCATTTGGAAAGGGAGATTTATATTAAAAATCTAAAATCTAACACAAGTCATGGATTTGAAAGACATAAAATAGCACAAAGCAAGATGGGCAAACATCTAAACCCCCGTAATGGACTAAACCACAAGGTGGTATAACGTGTAAGCCCCTGTACCCTCGGTAAAGATGCTTTCCTGTTGGACCCATGTCTGATATCTGAGTCATCACCTGGTCAGCGCAATTAATAGCTTCTTCGAAAGTTTGAAACTTCTCCAAATACTTTTGGAGAATCAAACTTCCTTCAGATGGATTTCCGCATAAAACATAGAAAATGCCAAAAGCAAAATAGGAATGAATGTTATGAATTGCAGCTTCACCAAGCATATCAAGAGATTGAACAGAAGGGCCAACAAGGGCAGCTAGTCTTAATCCTTCAATGTATTTGGCAGTGTTGTTGTTAGAATGTAGACATCTAAGCAGAAATGGGCGGTACGGTGACCCTTCAAGGCACAAAGATGGGACAGATACAAACTCCTCAAGACCAACCTCCTGTAATACTTCATCAGAAAAAACAATGGCTGACAATTCAGGGCCAGCAGCGATGAATGGACCGAGATGACGAAAACCAGATATACCAATCCGACGAACTATGTCTGTAACCAAAGGAAAAGGAATGTAAGAGGACATATAGAAAAAAGAACAGAGTTAGAACGATCGGAATAAAGAAAGATTTTTGGAGAACTGATATTTGCCCACAGAAAGCGATGAAGGAGATGAAGTCGGAGACCCTAGTTTTATAAGGTTAAAACCCAAATTTAAACGCAGCGTTTTAATAAGTTGTTCATTGTGGACTGTACTGATGAATCCATTATACTCAATCCACAGAAGTCAATAACAGGCCTACGAGTAAAACAAACAGAGACAAATAACTTGAATGGAATGTGTCCATGTAAAGAAATCCACATCACATAGTTTATGCTAGAATAATACTAGATGATAATGTTGTTTTTAGAATAATAGAAGTGGTAGCCGAGAAGTATGTTTTTAGAAAATAGTTAAGGAGATTAAAACAAACAATTTATACAACAAATTACATAGATTAGTAGTTGAGCTACCTATTTGTAAAGAGGAGCCACAAGTTCTTGAAACAGATCTATAGCGTATTGACCCCTGAAATCATCAACAATTTCATCAGTTATAAGAGACATTTTCTCTGGACCTCCACCATTGGCGTATATTTCGATGAGCTTCATGGCCACAGGTCCACAGTCCCCACATCTCTCGTTGACATAGATCTCTTTCATTCTTGTCCATCGGAAAGGAGCCAACCCATGTTCCTGACTCAGACGTGGCTTGCAAAATTTGTTAATTATATACGGGATTTGGACCAAAATAGGTGCCATGTACTCTTCAACTTTGGCATCATCGTTTAGAGGGTAATTTGGATCAAGTATGTCGACACACCATGTGCCTAAGTTGATAGCCAGACCTACCCAATGCTGGTTTTTCCATATCATTGGCATGAAGATAAGATCTATTTCTTCAAACCATTCTGATGGAGATCCAGGAATAGCCCTCTTGAACTGTTGATTCCATTGAACACGCAACTTTTGTTTTGCAGCTAGGAAAGAAGAGTACTTTCCCTGTAGGTAGTTGCCTAGCCATGGTTTGATGATTACAGCGCGTTCTTGAGAGAGGGCCAATCTGTGCCTTTCATTTAGGAAAGATCCTAGGACCTCCATGTGCTGCAAAATGATAGAAAAGAGTAAGTGGAATAAGCATATTGAACATTGGGGGAAATAAATGTGATTAATTATGGGGAAATGTTTTACCATGGTATCAACCCAATTGGTTGGCTGGGCAAGCTGGACTAGGAATTTGTTGGTTATCACAGTATCACCGCGGGTTATGTGTTCCCTGAAATTAGAAAATAATGTTAGACAGTTGGAAAAAAATTTAAAGTAAAAGGAAAAGGAATGTCATTACGTATGTGGTGACTTTCGAAGTGTGTCCATGAAGACTTTGAATAATGATTTGTTCAAACGAGGTAAGAGGTCATGTTGTTTTGTAGGTGAGTTTTGGGGAATATTTGACACCAACGCAACAAGTTTGGCCTCATTGTCAGACAAAGAAGTTGGCTTTCGTTCTCTCGCAGGAGATGAATCACTCACATCAACAACATCTCCAGTTTCGACAGCAGAATCCTGAGATGTTTTAAGAAAATTAAGGATAACATAATGAGAAAGCCATCATCATTTTCAATATGAGCATCTTTTTGGAGGAGGGTAAATTGAGATTATACCTCATCATCATCATTTTCAATATCATCATCTTTTTCTTGTTCAGTTGCTGCGGCAATCTACGTGAGAAAGAAACAAGGGGTAAGATATTTTCTAATTGGGCATAAAGTATAGATTTAAAAGAGGAGGGTCAATTTTTGGAGGATAAATAGAGGAGGTTTCAATCTGGTGACAGGTTGTTAGTGGACATTACTTAAACCACATATCCACATGGATACTTCGCAAATTAAAAAGTATTGTCTAACAATAACGTATCCACGTGGACAGGGAGTTTAAAACTTACCTCGGAGTGTTTTACCAAAACAAAATTTGGTAAAATGACATCAGATTGACCCTCTTGTGGTGTTATCTGCAACGTAATAGATCATCTTGTTTAACATTTGGTTTTATGGAGTGTTGTTATTTATTTTGTTAGGTTTGAAATAAATTATAGTAACTTTTGTTAATGAAGATACATAGGTTCCACATATTGAAGTATTAACTTATTAATGAAGCCATCAAAAATACAGCTATCCACGTGGACAGCCTGGGTTAAAATACCTCAGTGTTTTGAAGATTAGCAGAATTTGATATAATATCATCAGAAAGGTTAGGAACAGGTAGATCATCTTGAGGGGTTATCTGCATCGACAATTAAATTGGTTTACTATTAGAATATATGGAATGAGGCTTGAAACAAATCTTTAAAGTTGGAGTATGGTAAAAGGATACCTTTGCATCAACAACAGCAAGAGGCTCTTCTTCTGATGGTAAGGAATCCTCACCTGCAGCAGCAATAGTAGGACTTATGGACTTGCAAACTGATTGAACCAATGTGTCAACATTATCGGCCAAGGACAAGTCTCCTATGTTGAGCTCCTGGATAAGATTGAAAGTGGTAAAACATTAAGCAGATGAGTAACATCAATTATGAGAATCTCAAACAATAGATAAACTACTTAGTTGAGATAAACCTCAGATCCATCAATAGAAGAGGGTTTCTTTGCAGTATCGAATACAGGTGGAAGTTGAGGAGAAGGCAGAGGCTTGTGTGTAAGATACCCAAATGTGGAAAATGTAGTTAGGTATAAAATAGTTAAATATTTTGATATAGAGACAGAAATTTGTAAAAAATACCTCGTCTCTAAGTTTTGACTCAGTGTCATATATGGGTTGACCAGACTGTTGATCCTCTGTGCTATCAGCAGATAAATACTTTGATGGAGATTCATTCTGAAAAAGACAACAAATCTATGGATTAATGATCCATGGTAGGTAACAATAGAGAAATAAATTTTCAAATCCCAGTACCAGATGGTTTTGAGGGGAAGAAATCTTCCCAGGATTATCACCCTGTATGAAGAAAAAATGTGATAAGTGTATGAGTTAAGAAAACAATGTAAAAATGTGATGTTTGGGAGTACAACCTCAACAACTTCATTGACTGTGCTATTCATCTGCATAAGAGGGTTAAATAACTTAATTAGTGACTGTGATAACCCAATATAGAAGCATTATATTGGATGAAGAGCCACTGACCTGCTGAGAAGTTATTAGACGCCATGTGTAATCATCAACAAGAAGTGAAGGTTCTCCTGAAACTGCATTCTCTTCCTCATGCATTGAAGTTAATGGACTTGAAGGAGGAGTTGGGATGTTTTGAGTACCTACAGCAGCATTCTCTGGAGATTCAGATATATTGGGATGTTTAGCTGCTATGCGTACTTTCCTTGATGGAGCACAAGTTGACTGTCTAGCGCGTGAGAATTTGTGAAATTGAAATCTTGGCATCTTCAGAGATCTCAGGGCCTTGATCTTTTTCAGAAGATTCCGATTCTGACCTCTTAACTTCTGAACATTCTCCGCAAATTCATGTCTTATAGCATCCAACCGCGAATTCACCCACAGTTTTATATCACCTGCCTCATCATCATCAACCAACTCAAACTTACGCTTCCTGCCTCGCCTTGAAGTACCGACATTCGATTTTGATTGACTTCCCTTTGAAGGAGTTGACGTATGTTTCCTTTTCCTGTTAACTATATGCTTCTTGTGTTCAACAACTGGGTCCTTTTCATTGACAGAAATGAGATTTAGTTCAGCATAGCCACCAGGCCACTCCTTTTTGGTGAATTCATGACATTTCCTTATCTGCTCAATCAAAAAAACAACTTTCTTGTCTCTCACTTCATCATCCCACTCTCCCCATCCATCTTCGTTTTGGTCAACAAACAGGAACGGAGTAACAACCAACTGAAGAATCAAAGACAGATAATGAGAACACATAAAAGTTAAAAATTTACCCAAAATTATATAAATGTTTGAAACAACTTACATCAGGAGCACGTTCAAGGATATGAACTTCATTTAGGGTAAGATTGTTTTTGGGGATCCCAATTGAATGCCATTCCAAGAAGGTTCTCTCATCTGAAGAACCTGGAATCTTCTCCAGTAGACCAGATATGTTCCTATATGCAAGCAGTTGCAGGCCCAAAGGAAAGCCATATATAGCTATAGTTTGCTGTTGCATCTGTTCTGCAAATAGCTGGATTGGATCTTCAATCTTGCTATGTGCGCGGGACCTTTTTCTCTTCGCACCTCCCACTGAAGGTTTGTTTCTTCCAGGGCTCATAACCTGTATGGTCTTGAGGAAAGATTCTCTCCCCCATGGGAAAGAAAGGAAGGATTCAATGTTTTCCAACATCTGGACATACTTATAGGTTGGCCGATGAGTCTGATTATTGGCTATTAGGACTCCATCAACAATAAGCAAAAGAGCTAGTGGCAGTTTCAAAGGGGACTCAATCCCTTTTAATGCCTGGAACTTGACGGATAAATCAGCTAACGTAGTATTCTTATCTTTTCCTATCAACACATCCCAATAATCCTTAACCCCATTCACACGTTTTGGGGATAAATCTGGATCATACTCCTCAGGGAATTCACCACAAGGCAAACCAGTGACATTCCCAAACTCAACTAAAGAGAATCTTAGTGGCTGTCCACCAAAAACAGTCCACATTTCATACTTTTTTTTTGTAATCAGTTGTCTACATAACAACGCGTGGACTAATTTGCAGGAAATAGGACATTCGCTAACCCTTAAACTAAAAAGCGAACCAAAACACGAATCTAAGAGAGTTTCCATTTCCTTTGTACCTTGAAGAACATCACAAATCACAGTGAGGATATCGGGTCTGGAGTATATATTGAGACGGGCTTCTGGGTATCGGTCCGTTGCAAAGAGACGGGGAGGGAGTCGGGTATCGAAGTCAATTGTATCGACTTCGGCCGGAGCTGGTTCAAATTAGGCAGTTATTGACAGAGAAATGAAGTAGATAACTGAAAAACAGAACATAAATTACAAAAACATATATCGATTACCTGCCATTGATAACTGTAAGGAGAGGTAAGTAAAATCAACGGATTTGAATGTCGCCGGATTTGGAATTCTAGGTTTAGAAAGAAAAGGAATTATGATGTAAACATATACTTTTGAAGTTCTTAGATCTTGAGCTGAAGTTGAATTCCGGGAAGACGTATTGGTGGATGAGAACGGACAAACGGAGGCCGATTTAACGCCGACGCCGTCACCGGAAGAAATTTGGATTTAGGTTACAGTGAAGAAAAGTTTTACGGGTTACAGTGAAGAAAAGTTTTACTAGAGGACTGTAATAATTATTTTTTTAAATGCTTAACCACTGACCTTGTAACTATGGTTAACGAAAATATGAGGGGCTTTTGGTAAAAAAACTTAAAAAACTACCCACTACCCCTAAACTACTCTAGAAGTCAATTGAGTTTCCAAAAAGTACCCCATAATGTAAAATTTCCTTCTATATAATCCGAAATGTCAAAACAGCCCCATATATCCAAAAACCATTGGACCAAATATTTATCTAACGTATATGTACTTATTTCAAATGTAAATGAAATGCACTAGTTGTGATATATTACAAAAGCACAGGAATTTTTTGATACAATATGAAAAATCCACAAAACAAATATACATTTTGTACTCCCTAATCAAATCGGACTTTTAGTTTGTCTAAGAAATAATCAAATCTTTAATCTTGGTATGAATCGTCTTGGAGCTCAGTTTTGATGCAAGTTAATGTTGTGTTGAGGCACATATTCCTGCAATACACCAATCAAAATTTTCAGGATTATTAAACGAAACTCTGTCTAGTCTAACAAGTTTTAGACATAATTTGAAACAAAGATAAAGCATGTTTAGATATTTGATTTAGTGATTTGAATATATGGTTCGGTTTAGAGTTAAATTCGTATCATCTATCGATATATGTACCTCCAATTTTTTAAACAATTCTTTTGCGGTTGGCGCGGACACGATAATATGTCCAGCGGTTGGAAGAATAAATCCCTCTTCGACGGCTTTGTCGATGAATGATAGCAATGAATCGTAATATCCATCAACGTTTAATAAACCGACCTGCAAGAAGAAAAAACCAATCGCAAATTCTATCAAATTATAGTCGGTTACTATCTTATATATTACCACGCCAAACCGATTTACATACCGGTTTATTATGGATACCAAGTTGTGCCCAAGTTATCACTTCGAGTAGCTCCTCTAGTGTACCATAGCCACCTGATGAATTGATGATTGATAGTGAGCACTCGTTGACTTAGTCAAGTGGCACGAATAGTAAAACTTAGGAAGATTTTTTTTTATTTTCACTTTCATTTTTGACCTCTAAAGAAAAGTCAACATCTGAATAATGAAAAGTCCTTCTCTTCTCTTTGGTACTTTTTCAAGTCAAAGGTCAAACATTAGTGCACTCATCATCATTCATGTGATTACAATATTTGCTACATAATTACCATTTTGTTTCTCTCAGAATATAATAAACCAGCACTACCCAAAAAAGTAAAACAACATTTTGCAACCCATACTATGATCTTTTATTGTCTGTTCAAAAATATAAATAAATATATATATATAAACTGAGAACATAAAAAATTTCTTAAATTGGATAAGAAACAGATGTCCTTTGTCGACATCTATTTTCACTGCTTTTGGATGTTGATGGATCAAGTACTTTTTCTGATTATTCACTTTAATTATTTCAAAACTATTTGTCGTGATTCTTTGACTCATGGGATTTCCCACATATCATATTAACCACATGTTATTAATACTTATTAAACGCACTCTTTAAAGTTCTATATAATGAGATATGACTAATAAAAGTTTTTTTTTTTTTTTTTTTGTTAAAGCACTAACATACATTATGTAGGGGGGGAAACAAACACTAACACATCTAACTTTAAAAGATTCTAGCATCATATATTGGGGACTCTAAATGTAGAAGCAAAGTTTTCACAAATGAGTATCAATAATATAATTTTTCATAAATTTAATTGTAATAAAGATAAAAGAGAGGGGGAGAGAGAGTAAATTTACCAGGCAAAGTAATGAAAGCATCAGAATGCTTAGCCATCTCAGCTTTTCTCTGATGCATGTCTGCAACTTCCCTCACTTCTCCTACTGTTTCTCCAGTTATCTTTGTGTTTGTTTGCGAGACATTGACAGAGAGACAAAAAGAGCATTATTATTACCATTATTGCTATTATTCCAATTCAGATCCATTGAAGATTGATCTCCTCATGAAAAGCTAATTAATACCTCTTGCAACATGAGGAGCTTGGGGATGACTCTGCATCATATATAATAAGAATTAAAAACCATACCTACCTTTATTTTCATTAAGAACATTCGAATTTTAATGAAGTACTATAGAATAAACATATAGACTAAGTACCCAATAACATGACGACCACCATCATGAACAGCTTGAGACACCAAACCCATTAAACCTATGCTTCCTCCACCATAAACAAGATCAATCTTCCTCATCACCTGTTCATCAAAATTTCAAACCCTAATTTTGTATTTTGTATAAGAAGGAATCTCAAAAACAGAACGACCTTTTATCATTGTTATTTCTCTTTTTAAAACAAAACAGACTTAAGAATCTTTGAAAGAACTTATTGGTGAAAATTGAAAAGAGAAATGGGTAACATGCAAGTTTTTTTTTTTTTGGTAAAAGGTGAAATTTTATACCATTTTGATTTTTGACAGAATTACAGAGAAAACTTGAAACAGATTAAAGCAGGAAGACCAAAAAACTATGACTACAAGAACTACGAATACAAGAAAAAATACAATAAGAAAACAAAGCGAAACAACCAGCAGAGGCCTGAAGAAGAAACACCGATTCATGCAAGTTGTATATATGCATGATAATATACCAATTCTTTGGCCAAATCAATGGCTGCATCTTGATAACTAGCTTTGTTGCCATTGCTACTCCCACAAAAGACGCAAATCCTCTTAAACCTTGAACTTTGTTTCTTCGTCATCTCCCTTCTTCCCTCTTCATCCTCCATTGTTTCGTCTAACTTGTCAAAGTCACAACTTTTTTTTTTGTTTGTTTCTCGTTCTTATGGAAAAACAAAGGAATATTTTTTTAGATAAGACAAGTCTATTATTAACTCTCTCTCTCTTTTTTTTTTCTTTTTTTTTGGTTTGGTTTTAATTAACTCTCTTCTTCTCTACAACCCTTTGTTATGTTTTATAGCGTGGATTGTCTTTCTTAAGTCTCTGCTAGGCACGTGAGAAACGTGGTCACACGAGTGTTCAACTCTTTGGCTAGCTCTTTCTATCAACAAAGATATTCTAACTCATCGGTTAGCACAATCGCAAGTGGTGCTCACACACGCGTTGAGCACTCTTTTTTTTTCTTTCTTCTCATATTTCATACTTAGTATTTACAATCTTCCAATTTTTGTGGGGTTCCGGTCTAGTAAACGGTGAATTATTTTTACTCATTCTCTATTTATTTTGGTGTTTTTTTCTTTCTCATATACTTCATATTTGCAATCTTCCAAACTTTGTGGGGGTCTATTAATCTGTGAATTGTCTTTTTGATGAATCGGTCATTCAAACACCAACTTGTTATAGAATTATTTGCGATCATTTATACTAAAATTGCGGCAGCTAATATTTTCGAAATGTTGAAACTTAATTTAATTTGGTACTTATAAAAGTTTTTTTATTAACTGAAAAAATCTTTAGGTCAAAGTTTAGAGACTAATTAATCCTCACAATCTATCCTGTAAAGATATAATTTTTTCAAAAGTTGCATATTTGTCGATATCCTCAATAATTAAAGAAGTTATTATTTGCATGGCCACGAAAAAGAAAGTTGATATTATATTGTGAAAATTTTGTCTTTCTCGAATCTATTGTTTCTGTTCATGATGATTATAAATAGGAATTTCTGTTCTGGATAGGCCAGCACAAAACGATTTATTATCTGTTCGACGTACGCTAAACAGTAAGATACGTATGATTTGGTGTTGGATTTTATTTCTCGTGATTGTTTAAAGCTATGAAATTTTTGTCTTTTCTTTGGGTTAAGTGCCAATCAATGATATGATTAGTTAGGGTTAATGAAACCTCTAAAAAATTGTTTTGTTGGTTTAATTATGTTGTTGACAAGAAATATGCTTCACTGTTGATTTTTTTCCTTACAGTAAAACCTCAGATTTTAATGATACAATGTGGAGATATATTATGTTTCAGATAATACGACAAAGCCAACTTATGGTGCTATTGTGCTAATTAATTATGTTTTGTAGCATTAGCACAATAGTAAATCCTAGTATTTCAGTAATCTCAACGCCAAATTATGTTTTTAAGAGTGCATGATAAAATATGTCACTATGCCATTGGTGAACCTGACTAGATTACTTATGTCCTAAGACACGTTAATACGACGCGTTTCGCTTTGGGCAAAGCAATGTGTTGTCTCCCCTAATTCATATCTAAATTAGCTAATGCACAAACAAGATGATACATAGAATATATAGTATCATGCATCCAATAACAAATACAGTAAAAAGTTCCAAAAACTTGTGGTAGTTGAATTTTTTTTGATTTGACATTTCTCTTTTTAGTAGATTCTAAACCACTCATTCACAATAAATGCGATGATTTTACAAAATATGAAATTATAAATCATAGAGATTCGGCGACAAATATTGTCAGAATAACATTGTTATCAATATTTCTCTTCATCAATAAAACAACCCAATTTACAATTACTCAAATTTTAGTATATATAGTACCAACTATATGTTTGAAAATCAACCTATTAAACATTTAATTACTTTATTGATTAGTCGACCAGTTATATATTTTTTCGAACTGGCTAATAATCAGATCAAGTTAACCTAGCTACTAGTGATAAGTTTGGAAAACTAGAAAAGAAAAAAAAACAAAGAGAGAGAGAGAGAGAGAAAGATTAGATAGTGGAAAGTTCGTTAAAGAATTTAAATGGGAAGATCCCTTATCCTCATCGTCGAGGCCTTTATCTATGATATCCTCAGTTAGTTTATATGCTAAAAAAAGATTATTCCGTCAGATACCATATTTTAAGACTAAATGAATCGGTGCTATTGATATAAACACAAATGATTAAAATCATATATTATAATCGAATGATTAATTTTATTCTACGCTTATATAAAAAAAGTCATCCTCTACGTCAAACCAATATCATTTCTTGTGTCTTAAATGTTTTCAATGGTTCTTTGTCCAAAAAAAAAAAAAAAAAAAAAAAAAAAAAAAAAATGTTTTCAATGGTTAAAAGTTAATACCAACATCTAATAAATATATTTCCTATGGGCGGGCCTGTGGCCAATAACGTAGCATAAAACGATTTGTCTTATCGTTTTAAATATGGGCTTTATATGGGTTTTGGACTCAAAAGTGTTTGATCCTATGATCCAACGGTTAGGATTTTGACCAGTGAACAGCGTAATTTATTTAATAATTTGACCAAACTCTTCGTACCTGTAAATTAAAATCCGTTGGTTGAGATTTGAATTTAGATAAATTATACATATGATCTCGTTGGCCAAAAAAAAAAAAAAAAGGATCAAAAAGAGCAGTCATTTTCCCTTACGCCAAAACATCACTATATATAACTGGAACCAAATAATCTCAAAATAAAATAAAATTTACAGGCTAAACGAATGGCTAAGCAACATGTTACTGCAAAGCAAGTTTTCAGAAATAAAAATAAATTAAAGTAGAAGTATTACCTGATACTAATTGAGTTCTCGAAATACATAATTCGGTTATATATGAAAAAAAAGAAAAATCATTTTAATTTTTTGAAAATAGATTGATCCATTCGAACTTGAGGGTCTTTTGTATAAAAAGAAATATTGTAAAAATAGTTTCATCTTTAATTTCGAGGGCTGCTTATGTGATAACAAAACACTATGGGTAGGCATTTATAAACTTTCTTGAATTAAAGACACTTATTTTTATCTTGAATTGTAGATCGAAATATTATTTTTTTTATTGTTAACGAAAAGTCAAAAACATAATAAAGCTCAGATATCAACTTCGAAGGTACTCCATAATATTAACAAACGTTACGCTGATTCGCCAACGTCTTTCAGAAAGTTGCTTACAAGCCTTCTTCTTCGATTATATATTTCTCTAAGCTTTTCTTAATAATGTTATTTTATGCGTTTTTCACATTTATTTTGTCACTGACTAACCTAAAAAGATTATTATTTTTATATTCTGAGAGATTCACCAACCTTTTGTTTGCATGATGGGATGGCTCTATATAAGCATTTGTAACCAGCTACGATTTCTTCACTACAATTTGTATAACCAAAAGCAATTGACGATCAAATACAAATCAAATCTCATCATTGCATCAAACCGGAAAATTGAACCGGAGATGAAGATGGGTTTTCTCTTTCTATTCCTTTATCTTCTTGCGTTTCTTGGCGATTCTCCGGTGGATGCGGCGGTGAAGAAGTATCAATTTGATGTAGGTGTTCAATAAATCGGTATACAAATTATACTGGTTTAGCTAAACCGGTGTAATGTAAACCCAAGATATGTAGGTTTTTTGTACTAACGTTTGTAATTTGGAACAGGTTCAAGTGAAGAACATCAGCCGGATATGCAATGCCAAACCGATTGTCACGGTTAATGGTATGTTCCCTGGACCGACGGTTTACGCAAGAGAAGGTGATCGAGTCATCATCAACGTAACCAACCATGTACAATACAACATGTCCATCCATTGGTAAAGCATCTCTTTCCTACGTCTCACACCAGCGTACCCGGTTTAGTCATTCTTGGTGAACCAAAATTTAACGGTTTGTTTTATAGGCATGGGCTTAAACAGTACCGGAACGGTTGGGCGGATGGTCCAGCATACATAACTCAGTGTCCGATCCAAACCGGACAGAGTTACCTTTATGATTTCAATGTGACCGGACAACGAGGGACCCTTTGGTGGCACGCACACATCCTCTGGCTACGAGCCACCGTCTACGGAGCTATTGTCATCTTGCCTGAACCGGGAAAACCGTATCCGTTCCCACAACCATACCAAGAATATAACATAATCCTCGGTTAGTGAATAAAACCAAACCGGTCGGTTCAGTCCCATCCTTAGATTTTTCTTTTTTCTCATTGCCCTTTTTGATACTGGACTAGGAGAATGGTGGAACAAAGACGTTGAGACTGCGGTTAACCAAGCCAACCAATTGGGTGCACCGCCTCCAATGTCGGATGCTCATACCATTAACGGAAAACCTGGACCGCTGTTTCCGTGTTCCGAGAAACGTAAAAGTTCTAAACCGTTTTAAACCGTTTGTTATCGGATTGGATCTCGGATATCATTAATCTTTTTCCGTATACAATTTTTTCAGACACGTTTGTTATAGAGGCCGAAGCGGGTAAAACATACCTTCTAAGGATTATCAACGCAGCATTAAACGACGAGCTATTCTTCGGGATTGCGGGACACAACATGACCGTGGTGGAAATCGATGCGGTCTACACTAAACCGTTCACAACCAAAGCCATTTTAATCGGACCAGGTCAAACCACTAATGTTCTAGTCAAAACCGACCGCTCACCAAACCGCTACTTCATGGCAGCTAGTCCGTTCATGGACGCTCCAGTATCCGTAGACAACAAAACCGTAACCGCGATTCTTCAATACAAAGGCGTACCAAACACGGTCTTACCAATCTTACCAAAGCTTCCTTTGCCTAACGACACATCATTTGCTTTGGACTATAACGGAAAGCTCAAGAGCCTCAACACACCAAATTTTCCGGCTCTTGTTCCATTAAAAGTCGACCGGCGACTGTTCTACACTATCGGGCTAGGCATTAACGCTTGCCCGACTTGTGTGAACGGGACAAATCTTGCAGCTTCTATAAACAATATCACATTCGTTATGCCCCAAACCGCGCTCTTGAAAGCACATTACTCCAACATCTCGGGTGTTTTCAGGACTGATTTCCCAGACAGACCCCCCAAAGCGTTTAACTACACCGGTGTGCCGCTCACTGCTAACCTCGGAACATCTACGGGGACAAGACTTAGCCGA